ATCATAGGTAGTTTCACTTTTAATTTTCCATTCTGTTTTCAACAGTGGCTGTACCAATCTTCATTCCCACCCAAAATGCACGGGTTCCCTTTTCTCCACATTTTTGCCAACACTTGGCATTTGTTCGTGTATTGATGGCAGCCATTCTGACAGGTGTGAGATGACATTTCACTGTGGTTTAAATTTTCATTTCTCTGATGATTAGTAATGTTGAGCATCTTTTCATGTGACTACTGGCCAGCTGTATGTCCTCTTTGGAGACGTTTCTATTCAGGACCTCTGTCCTCTGACCATTTTTTAATTGAATTTTTCTTTTTGGGGTTGGGTGGAATGAGTTCTTTATAAATTTTGGATATTAACCCCTTATCAAATGTATCATTGGCAAATACTTTCTTCCATTCAGTAGGTTATCTTTTTGTTTTGTTGAAGGTTACTTTTGCTGTGCAAAAACTTTTTAGTTTGGTGTAGTTCCATTTATTTATTTTTTCTTTTGTTTCTCTTGCCAGAGGAGGTACTGTTAGAAAAAATAATGCTAAGAGGAAAATGTGAGATTTCACTGCCTATGTTTTCTTTCATGCTTTTAAGTCTTTAATCCATTTCAAGTTTATTCTTGTATATGTTGCAAGAAGGTGGCCTAGTTTTACATGTCGCATGTATCTGTCCACTCTTCCCAAGACCGTTCACTGAACAGATTGCCTCTTCCCTACTGCATCTTTTCTCCTGCTTGTCACATACAGGGTTGAGCAGAAGTGGTTACAGTCGTAATATAAATACATAATACAATAATAAATTATAATGCAAGAATACATTGTGGCCCTGGCTGGTTTGGCTCAGTGGTTAGAATGTCAGTCTGTGGACCAAAGAGTCATGGCTTCAATTCCGGTCAAGGGCAATGCCTCAGTGTGGTTTGGTCGTGGCCCTGGTCAGGGTCCTGCGGGAGGCAACCAATCAATGTGTCTCTCTCGTGTCGATGTTTCTCTCCCTCCCTCCCTCCCTCCCTCTCTATCTGAAGATAAATAAAAAAAATCCTCAGGTGAGGATTAAAAAGAAAGGAGGTGGAGAAGGTGAAGGAGGAGGAGGAGGAGGAGGAGGAGGAGGAGGAGAGAAGGAGAAGGAGAAGGAGAAGGAGAAGGAGAAGGAGAAGGAGAAGGAGAAGGAGAAGGAGAAGGAGAAGGAGAAGAAGAAGAAGAAACAACTACGTTTTTTATCCTCACAACTGTACAACTATTTCACCTACCCCTGGACTAATTGAACAGCTATGCATGGGTTATTTTTGGGCTCTCCCTTCTGCACCACGGATCTCTGCGTCTGTTCTAGTGCCAGTTTCATGCTGTTTTGATTACTACAGCCTTGGAGTACAGTTTGATGTCAGGTAGTCTGACAGTTTCAACCTTGTTAGTCTTTGTCAGGATTACTGTGGTTATTCAGGGTGTTTGTAGTTTCACATACATTTTTGGAGTAATTCTTCCAGTTCTATGAAAAATGCCATTGGCACCTGTTAAATACTTTGTAAATAGGGGTGTGCCTATTTTTCCAACTATGGTTCTAGCACAGTGTCTGAGACATTTTAAGTCTCAATACATATTAATAGAAGAAACTGTTATTCACAAATTCATTCGATCTAGTGGTTTGAAATCCTTGTGGCATTTAGAAATCTTCTGGAAAGCTTGTATTTATTTACGTTGTCTATATCTGTGTGGGTCCCTTTCCAGATGATTAATTCCGAACAGCTGGGAGAGGGGCCCAGGCATTGCTACTGGTAGAGCTCACCACGTAACTCAAATGCACAACACTTGGACGAGAGCTGGCGCTCCACTGTCTCCCCCAGTCTTCGTCTCAGGCCCCCCGAGGGCCATGCTTGGGCCCCGCGAATGGAGGGAGGGCTGTAACCCCTGGAAGCTACGCTAGACATGAGTTGTGGGCCAGTGCATCCCCACTCTATGCCTGTGTCTCCTGCATGGCCTTCCTAGTTTAAATTCTGGTTGGGAGAAGGAAGAGAGGTCTCTGCATACACCGTGCTGGGCTTGGGTTCAGGCACCCAGATTCTCTTGTTGTCAGGACAATTATAATAAATTGGACCAGAGACATTGTGCCCTGTCAGTATCTGCTTATTATGGGAGGAGCTGGCCTGTGATCACCCACAGCTTCCCCAGAAACTGCTGAAGAACAAGACAGTATTAACTTCTTAAAACTGCACATTTGGGTGGGATGAGACAAAATCCTGCTCTGGGTGCCCTGTGGGAGGACACATTAAAATCTGCTGACCCAGCCCTGGTCAGTTTGGTTCAGCGGTTGGAGCATGGCCTGTGGACCAGAGAGTCCCGGGTTCGGTTCCCACCAGGGGCATGTACCAAAAAAAAAAAAAAAATCTGCTGACCTGGGCCCTGGCAGAGGAGCTCATTTGGTTATAGTATCATCTGATAAGCCAAGGTTGCGGGTTTGATCCCTAGTCAGGGTACACATAAAAATCAACCAATTAATGCATAAATAACTGGACCAACAAATCAGTGTGCTCTCTCCCCCTTCCTTTCTTTCCCTAAAATCAATCAATAAATAACACATGTTTTAAAAATCTGAGGACCATGGTTCTTCCTGGATTGAGCAGGGGAACTCCCGGCTCCAGAGCCGTCCTCTCCCGCAGTGAGCAGGCTCTGCTAGCACCTGCGGGGCTGGTCGCTTCCGTGCACGAGGCTGCCGGGCAGGCAGAGTCGGTCTGTGTGCACCAGAGCCCCGAGGCTGGGCGCAGGTGCGTGGCCTGCAGGCACGTGCGAGCTATGCGTCAACGTTGCACTCTGGCTGGTCGCTTCTAAGACTCTTCACTGGTGTTGACCTGTGTTAGTCCATCAATTTGCTGATGTGATTATAAAGGGCAGAGGCTTTATTTGGATGACTAAGGTTTGAATCCAAGCATTTCCCTTTCTTAACTCTGATTTTAGGCAAGTTATGAAAATTCTCTCAGCCTCAAGAACCCTACTTAAAGGTAAAAGGTAATAATGCTTACTTTATTGTATCTTTGTGAACACTAAATGCCTTAATATTGGTAAATGCCTTATAAGAGTTTTGGTATTCAGCACAGGACAGTGTTAGTAAAACAATTATTATTAATGTTTTCTTGATGGCTCTAAAACTGGCTATTCTGTTTTCTTTAAAATAATAGTCTTTTTTTTCTTTTTTAATCCTCACCCGAGGATATTTTTCCACCTATTTTCAGACAGTTGGGAGAGGGAGAGAGAAAGAGATAGAGAGAGAAACATGGGTGCGAGAGAGACACATCGATCAGTTGCCTCCCGCACAACCCCGATCAGGGCTGGGGACCAAATTGCAATGGAGGCACGTGCTGGCCCTTGACCGGATTTGAACCCATGACTCTTTAGTCTGTGGGCTGATGGTCTAACCACTGAGCAACCGGCCAGGGCTAAACTAATATTCTTTTTTTTTTTTTTTTTTTATCCTCACCCGAGGATTTTTTTCCATTTTTTGTACAGATAGAGTGGGAGGGAGAGAGAGGAAGGGAGAGAGAGAGAGAAACATCGACGTGAAGGGACACATCGAGTGGCTGCCACCCGCACAACCAACCAGGGCCGGGGACAAATTGCAACCGAAGTACGTGCCCTTAGCGGGAACCGAACCCAGGTCTCTCCAGACCGCAGGCCGACGCTCTAACCGCTGAGCCAAACTGGCCAGGGCTAAACTAATATTCTTAAACTCCTTTCTTAAAAAAGCCATAGAATTAGCTAACTTCTAAATTATGATTCCCATTAAATATAAAACCTTTGAGACATAGTATGAAATAAACAACAAATATAAAAATAAAAATGCAAATGAATTTTACAGTTAATAAAGATCCAAAATTATAAATAAAAATGTTAACAAATTAAATCATTCTATAATTTATAGAAGCAATATCATTAATGCAATCAACAGAACTTATTCCAGAATGCAAAGATAGTTCAACATTGGGAAACTTACTAATGTGATTAGTCTTATTGATCAATGGGAAATATACCTAAACGTAATTAGTATGAACTCTAATAAATCAGTGTGTCTATTGAAATTATATACAAAATTAGTTTTCTCAACTTGAAAGCTTATAACATTTATTAGATATATAAATATCAGAAAATAAGTATTTAAAAATTAGCCTGGTCAGTGTGGCTCAGTGGTTGAGCATCAATCCATGCACCAAGAGGTCGCCAGTTCAATTCCTGGTCTGGGCACATTCCCAGGCTGTGGGCCTGATCCCCAGTGAGGGGCATGCAGGAAGCGGCCAATTGATGTTCTCTCATCGATGTTTCTCTCTCTCTCTTCCTCTCCCTTCCTCTCTCTCTAAAGTCAATAAAAAATAATATTAAAATTAAAAAATCAATTATATAACTATACATATAAAAGTAAAAATAAAAGCTAACATCAAAATCTGTTTTTAAATGTGCATTTAGATATCTAACGTCATATTTTAAAACACATTTCACAAAAGATACTAGTTAGGGGGTGTCTACTGTTATTTTTATCATACATTGTAGAGAATCTCTAGCTGGTAGACTATATTTTTTAATATTTTCTTACTTTCACTCAATAGCATTGTACTTCTTTTTTTAAATTTACATTTATTTTACGGTAAAAATTAAACTTGCCATTGGAACATCTTTGTAGATTTCATTCCCACTTACTATAAACATGCTACAATAATAATATGTTATTGCTGTTTGTGCAACATACATGGGACATTTAAAATAAAGCAAATGTTTTTCCTTAATACTGTGTAAAGGTCTCTCATTAAAATCAAGGAGGAACAATAAGGGTCAGGGAAACAAGAATCATCATACTCTGAATGTCCGTTCTGTGCCAGGAAACAGGTTCCACCCTCTGGAACCCCTCTGCCAGCGTCCCTCTGAGCTCCGCTCTGTGGAGGATCTCAGTGGGTGGGGAGGCCTTGTCTCCCCTTACCCACGAGTGCGTGGGCTTGGCAGCTCTGCACTTCGGACCTCCAGGCCCCTACTCACCAACTCTCCAGTTGAGCTGAGCCGGGCTGTGAGTACCAGTGAGGTCTGAGGAACTGGAAAAAGCCATTGGCGAGAGCAGGGACGCTAAGGGGTCATCACAGTTGTCTGAAACACAGCAGAGGGAGAGAGCAAATTCTGTTACCCAGGGACAGTCCATAAAGAAAGGAATGGCATTATCCACCATCATTTATTCATGCCTGCTCTGAACAGGGCCAGCATGACTTATCTCCATGTGCTATTTCACCTCTGCTCACAACCTTGAAAAACAGTGATATGTTTCCTTAACAGCTGGAGAAACTCGAGTTCAGAGATGTCAAGTTACTTTGTCCAAGGTCGCAACACAGAAAAGAGTGTGACCAGAATTATCACCCTGATTTTCTCATTGAAAAGCCCACTATCCATCCATCCTTTGAGCCACTGCTTCAGCAAAGCCCCGAGTTACAACTATTGAGCTTATTCTGTAAGATGGAAGATTATTAAAGAGAGAAACATTGCTGAACTACTCTCTGATATCCAGGCCTCGAGGACCTTGCAATAGTTGTGTCTAGAGACAGAATAATTGAGAATAGCTCACTCCCACTTGTGTGAAAATCTTTGGAAAATGTGTTTCTAGTTTTAATAATTCATTTCTATAGCACAAAGTAATAGGTAACAGTCCTGCTCCTGTGTACTCTTTAATGTGATATTCACTTCAGCATTACCCTCCTAGACTTCCCTAAATGTGGTAAGTATACTTTCTAACGTGTCTCTGATGCGGCCCCAGTGTGGAACAGGTGGGGCAGAGGTGTGTTCTTTACAACATACATATGTTCTCCCGACTGACTCTATGCCCTGGACACCCAATCTCACATGGATGCTACCTTTCACATCGCTTATTGGTCACTTAAACGTCACGTGACATGCCCAACCAGTGTGGCTCAGTGGATGAGCATCAACCCATGCATCAAGAGGTCGCCAGTTCGATTTTGGGTCAGGGCACACGCCAAGGTTGTGGGCCCGATCCCCAGTGGGGGGCATGCAGGAGGCGGCCAATCGATGTTCTCTCTCATCGATGTTTCTATCTCTCTCTCCCTCCCCCTTGCCCTCTCTCTAAAATCAATAAAGAAAAAATAAAATGTTATGTAATATATTATTAATTTGTGTGTATCCTCCAGCAAGTGACATGTTCTTTGCGAACCTTAGTAAGGTGTCTGGTACATCATCGGCTATTCATGAAGTCTTATGGGAAGAATGGAGAGGGGAGGGAGGGAGGGAGTTAGGAAGGGAGGGAAGGAAGGAGTGAGGGAGAAAGAATGGAAGAAATTCACAGAATAGTACAAACACTCTTTTCCTATATTTTTCATTTTGTTTACAATTGATAACGCAGGACAGTGAGAAATGACTTAATGAAATCTGGACACACTCCAGTCAAAACAAATTAGAAAGGTGTTATTCAGTGTAAAGGTAAATTTCATGGCATCAAAGGTTCTCATAAAGAGTGATTTGGCATTTTTTAAAGAAAATGTACACAGGATTATGAGACTAATTGTATATCCAGAAAATTCTGAGGGAACAGTATTTCATCTAATTGCAGGAAAATTAATGAGAAACAGGATTGATTTTTTTGTTTGTTCAATGTGTTTAAAAAATCAACTGGCAAAGCATATTTTGAGTTTTTCCCCAACACAAATGTTGGAAAATCTTTTGAAGTATTTGACAAACATAAACCAGAGCCAGAGCCTCACCAAAGAGGAATGACAAAAGTCACAGTGAGGGCTCAGCACACACAGTCCCACCGTGCATGAAGTCGGAGCTCCGGGCGCCTTCCTGTTGGCATAAAATGAAGGTAAGAGCCCAGGCGGTTTGCTCAGTGGATAGTGTTCTCCTATGGACTGAGAGGTCCAGGTTTGATTCTTGGTCAGGACACATGCCTGGTTGCAGACTCCATCCCCAGTAGGGGGCGTGCAGGAGGCAGCCAATGGATGTTTCTATGTCACGTGGATGTTTCTTTCTTTCTCTCCCTCTCCCTCTCCCTCTAAAAAATCAGTAAAAACATAGTTCTTTTTTTAACAAAAGATACAGGTGAGAGAAGATGTGCACACACCTCTAAGGCACTTGTTAGGAAATGCAAATCTTTTCTATGTTAGGGAACAATGTAAACATAATGCAAATCTCATCTGTGTGTGCGCCTGTGTTATCATCAGAAAATGGTAGGTGAATGCAGGAAAGTTAACCAACTGGACTGAGCCCCACAAGAAAACCTCCCAACCACGGGCACACAGGCGCCTGCTGCAGACCCACAAGGTGCCCATGTACTGCACAGCCCTGTGCTAAGCCCCTCCTGTCAACATGTGTGGTCACAATTATCCTCTGACCTCAAATAACAGTTTCCACCCCCCCCCAATATCTCACAGCCCTTCTGACACCCACTTCCACAGGCAAACTGGAGATCTTTGGTAAGATATCATATCTATCATAGCATTGTCGTGTTTCTTAAGCATATAACATGTACGGAACTGCACTACAGTTTTTACTAGGTCCTTACAGTATTTTTATGTCTCATGGATGACATTTTTTAGTATGATGCTCTTTAACCTATTTCCCCTACGTAGAACTAGACATGACCTAATCAATTTAATCCAGTCTAACAAGTATTTATAAGAGCCTACTCTATACTTTGGTTAGAAAGTGAAGATAGAGATGAGTAAAATTAAGTGGCGTAGCTCAATAAGTCAGACTATTGAGAAAGATGAAGATGTAAAGAAAGAAACAGATGGGAGAGTTTCACAAAAGTCATGTCCCAATCAGTGAAAGGGGTACCCCACTATCCGGACGCCCAGATCTTGGCTGTCTCCTCAGCCCAGTGTGGTCCCCTCATTCACAAGTCACTGCCAGAGGGAGAAATAATCTGCAGAACCCACTGGCCTCGGGACTCTAGCTGCTGTTCCCACGGCCCATTTCTTCCGAGATGCATCTGCCTGTATCTAAGCTTGTGGCATCTATGTCCACACTTTGGACATAGTAAACCCATTAAACCGTCTGTGCTGATGAAGGTACAGAGGAGATTCTTCAGGCCCCCTTTCCTCATGGACCCTGCACGTTGGACTAGGGGCTGCTAGAGACCATGTCTAATACTTTGCTTTCTTATTCCTAACAGTGGTGAGAGCGGGGACATTTCACTAGAGCAGAGAAAGACCTCCCAGTTTCCAGCGAACAGGTCCCTCCCTCCGTCTTCTCCACGTCACACACAAACCAGACGTCGCCTAAACTGAGACTAGACCAGCCCTCTCATTAAATTACCAGTCTCTGGGAATTAATGAAGTGTCCATATAACCATGCTAAACCCAAAAGTGTCCATTAATTTTAGACTTCTGTCTATTATTGAAGCACAAGAGAAATGGTCTAACATAAATGAGAAGAATGATTAGATTTTTGTTTTAGCTTTGTTTTTAATTCATGATGTGGGACAGCGTGGGTCGTGGAAAGTCTCAGGAGGGCCAGAGCTGGGGAGTCCCCTCCTGGACTGGCTTCTTCTTTGCCCGGGTGACCCCAGGCCATGAACTCAAATGCACGATGCATTATCTCCCTGCTGTCTCCGGGAGCCGTCTGCTGTTCACAACCATAGAATCATTTTAAGATGGGATGAGAATAGATGGGAAACCCTCTAAGAAAAAACACAGAATGAGAATAGGAGGCAGCATGGGAACCGTCTGTGATATCGGCTGCGATGGAAGGCGACCATCTCAACACATTTACTTCGTGGATCTGGTTTCTGTGTCATGAGTCCTGCCCGAGGACTGATGTCACCAACAGCTCTCCTGCCCTGAAGGGTTCTAGTCCAGCAGATGGGGAGGAGAGGGAAGGGAGGAGACTCCAAGGGCGAAGACACACAGAGTGAGAACACCGCCTGGGCAGTCCTCCTGCTCGGTCATGGCAGCCTTGTGGGGCCTGGGCCAACGCCACCGCAAATGGCCGGGGAGGGGACACCAGAACCCCGCCGGCTCCGCAGGCAGGTCTGACCTAGTCGACTCCGTGTTGTCCCCACATGTGAGGCTCCGCTCACACCTCAGCCTCTGACGGCGCGTCTGCACACGGCCGTTCAGCAGCGGTTCCTCTGCAGGTGTGTGCGGATGTGTACCTGTATTTACACGAGGGAAGAGGACATTGTGGAGAAAATGGGTAGGGAGAGAGATGTTTGCAGTTTAGTGTAAAAATACGGAGGGGCTGAAATTCAGGTTTCCAACTGAACACATAACCTGAGACAGAGCATAATGATTTTCCAAAAAATGAACCACACTCACGAATATATAATGCATTGACATAGGAGAATATTTTCAAAATATGCTCTTAAAAAGCCCATTCATGGACCTTTTTTTTTTTTTTTCCCCTAAAAGATTTGCTGCAAAAGTCAGATGAAATTAAATGGCTATTGAAAAAGTGCGAACCCAGTTCATATGTAATATGTTATTCTGCATTTTTTTCAACCAATGACTTCACTGCCATCTTTACTGGTTTTCTTGATGACATAAAGACCACCTCCCGTGCCACCCACCTCCAGACAGATAGTGCCCGTGCCTTTGGGCGTGATGGCAGCACTCCACCCGTCCTGTGTGACAGGCCTCAGCCTTGTTCGTAAGCGCAGGGCGGCGACAGATGTGCTAGATTAGGCGATCACAGGGTAAGGTATACAAATGTCATACTGCAATGTTGTCTACTGAGAGTAGTATAATATTGTGCGCCATCTGGACATTAATGAACCATACTTTTAAAAATACCGGAAAGAACCTCTGAACCTGTGGAACTCAAGCCAGTCAGTTCACAAAGGAGAGTCTCAAGGTTTGGGGAGATGACGGGACCGCCCAGGGTTATTCAGCTGATGAGGGGACTCACCTGGACCAAAGAGCAGGTGTTCTCCCACCCAGGTGATGGGCATAAGCCTGGTAACCATCCATTGTGTTATTCTTCACAAGATCAGTTTTAATGGATAATTATGTTTTATGCAAAAGGAAAGATGTAGTTTTATTTGAGGGATAACAAAAAAAACAGTCTTTAGTTTTCAAAGGATCTGAAACTCTTCTCTATTTTTCTTGTCTTCCTTATCTGTTCTTTTAGGATTTCCTTATCCA